CTGCTTCTGTGAGCAATTGTAACATGCTTGAAACAAGTGAAAAAAAAAAAAAAAAATCTCAGCAAAGCGTGGCTGTGGAGTCATCTGAAGTTCAGGCGGTTTTCAAGTCAGCCTCAGTTTGCTGTCCTTTGTCCCCCGCAGGTCTCCCCTGCGCAGACGCATATTTCCCACATTGGCCGGGGGTTGTGGGGAGCCGATCCAGCCTGTCCCTGGCTCCTCCATTTGCAGGTTCACCTTGTTAAATTGCTGGCTGGGCCCCTGCTCTCCTCGCCCAGGACCATGCCACAGGCCAGCAGAGCGGACACTTCTCTTTTGGTTCCTCCCAGTTTCGCTCCTTTTCCTGATGACGTTTCTCAGGGCAGGCTTCATCTTCTACCGCACATCAAGGCAGCCCCTGGGGGTGGCAAAAGCTACTGGTTTCCACAGCTGTCCTTAATAAAACCACTGCAACTGCCACGGTAGTGCTGGGATGGCACAGCTCTAGGCAGGAGGGCCAACGGCTTCCCCAGTTTTTATTCAAAGTTCTAGAGGCTTTTTTTCTTTTCTTTTTTCTTTTCTTTTCTTTCTTTTTGGAGATGGAGTCTCTGTCACCCAGGCTAGAGTGCATGCAGTCTTGGCTCACTGAAACCTCTACCTCCCAGGTTCAAGAGATTCTCCTGCCTCAGTCCCCCAACTAGATGGGATTACATCCAGCTAATTTTTGTATTTTTTGTTGAGACAAGGTTTCACCATGTTGGCCAGGCTGGTCTCAAACTTCTGACCTTAGGCCATCTGCCCACCTCGGCCTCTCAAAGTGCTGGGATTACAGGCGTGAGCCACTGCACCCAGCCATAGAGGCTTTTTATGGATAAATGCTTCTCAAGACCTGGCACAGTGGCTCACAGCTATAATTTCAACACTTTGTGAGGCCTAGGTAGAAGGATTGATTGAGTCCAGGAGTTTGAGACCAATCTGGGCAACATAGTGAAACCCCATGTCTACACAAAATAAATAAATTAGCCGGGCATGGCGGTGCGCACCTGTAGTCCTAGCTACTCAGGAGGCTGAGGTGGGAGGAGGAGGTAAGCCAGGAGGTCAAGGCTGCAGTGAACTGAGGTCACATTCCAGCCTGGGCAACAGAGTGAGCTCCTGTCCCAAAAAATTAAAAAGAGTCATTTACAAAATGTAAATGCTTCTCAATTTGTTGTACACCTTTGGTTGATTTTGAGAGCCCTGAAATAGTTATTTCAGGCAAGTGTGTCCAGTTTTATGCTTGTTTGCTGACCTCATCCCTCAGCCACAGCTGACAACTGATTCTTGCTTGTTCTGACTGATCTTTATTTATTTATTATTTTCATTTATTTATTTTTTTAAAGACGGGGTTTCACCATGTTGGTCAGGCTGGTCTTGAACTCTTGACCTCAGGTGATCTGCCCACCTTGGCCTCCAAAGTGCTTGGATTACAGGCATGAGCCATTACGCCCGGCCTTATATTTTTATTTTTGAGATGGAGTCTCACTCTGTCTCCCAGGCTAGAGTACAGTGGCGCAATCTTGGATCACTGCAACCTCCACCTCCTGGATTCAAGCAATTCTCCTGCCTCAGCCTCTCAAGTACCTGGGATTACAGGCACCCACCACCACACCCGTCTAATTTTTATATTTTTAGAGACAGGGTTTCATCATGTTGGCCTGGCTGGCCTTGAACTCCTAAGGTGATCCACCCGCCTCAGCCTCCCAAAGTGTTGTGCTTACAGGCGTGAGCCACTGCGCCTGGCCTTGGCCTTCATTTAAATGGAATCACCCCACACGTGCCCTTGCATGGACTTCTTTTGCACAAAATTGATTACTTATGGCATTCATCCAGATTTGTTTATTGGTTCTGACTGCTGTATGTTTTTCGATACATGGATGTACCACAGTTTATTCATGTATTCCACTGTACGTTAGTTTCCAGTTATGGGCAATTAAGAACAGCACTGCTGCGACCTTCTTATACACGTCCATTGGTAAACAGGCACGCACACTTGTGTTGGGGTATTTGTCCAGGAGCTGAAGTGCTAGGTCACGTGGTACACATGTGTTCTACTTTAGGACACACTGGCTGTGGTGGGATCTGATGCACAGCTCCCAAAGGCATGTCCAGGTCCCAGTCCCTAGGGCCTGTCAATGTTTCCTTACTTGGAAGAGGAATCTTTGCAAATGTCGTTAAGTTAAGGATCTTAAAGTGAGCAGATTATCTCGGTGGGCTTACATGCTATCACAAGTGTTCTGTTTTTTGTTTTTTGTTTGTTTTTTTTTATTTTTTGGGTTTTTATGTTTCTTGGTTTGGTTTTTTTTTGAGATGGAATCTCGCTCTCACCCAGGCTGGAGTGCAGTGGCGCAATCTTGGCTCACTGTAACCTCTGCCTCCGGGGTTTAAGCAATTCTCCTGGGTCAGCCTCTCAAGTAGCTGGGATTAAAGGCACACACCAGCACACCTGACTAATGTTTGTATTTTTTTTAGTAGAAATGGGGTTTCACCATGTTGGCCAGGCTCTTCTCAAAGTTCTAGGTTCAAGCAATTCACCCACCTCGGCCTCCCAAAGTGCTGGGATTATAGGCATGAGCCATCACACCTATCTACAAGTATTCTTATAAAAGAGAGCCAGGGCTGGATGTGGTGGCTGACGACTGTAATCCCAGCACTTTGGGAGGCCAAGGTGGGCAGATCACCTGAGGTTGGGAGTACGAGACCAGCATGGTCAATATGGCAAAACCCCATCTCTACCAAAAATACAAAAATTAGCTGGGTGGGGTGGCACATGCCTATAATCCCAGTGACTCAGGAGGCTGAGGCAGGAGAATCACTTGAACTCGGGAGGTGGAGGTTGCAGTGAGCCAAGATGGTGCCATTGCACTCCAGCCTGGGTGACCGAGCGAGACTCAATCTCAAAAAATAAAATAAAACAAAATAAAAGCAGATATGGCCATATGATATTTTCATGAAGAAACAGTATCTAGAGGGAGCTATTCAGGAACGGTGACTGGGTGGAAGGATCCTGTGTAGTTCTTACTTTCTCCTTTCTGCCTCTCTGGATTTCCCAGTGTGTCTAAATGAACATATTCTGTTTGAATATGCAAAAATAATTAAATCTTTCTAAAAGCCACCCGGGCCTCCCACAGGTGCTCCAGTGTTCCAGGTGGAGCCCCAGGACATGACAGTGAGATCCGGGGATGATGTGGCCCTGCGGTGCCAGGCCACTGGAGAGCCCGTGCCCACCATCGAGTGGCTGTGGGCAGGTCGCCCCTTGCAGGCCAGTCGGCGGCTCCAGACCCTGCCTGATGGGAGCCTGTGGCTGGAGAGCGTGGAGGCTGGGGATGCAGGTGCCTACGACTGCATCGCTCACAACCTCCTGGGCTCTGCCACAGCCCGGGCCTTCCTGGTCGTGAGAGGTATGGGGCATCCCTGTCTGGACCTTTGTGGACAGAGGGAGGATCTCCTGCTGATGGGAATTGTGTGGTGCTTATGGGGGACCTGGCCCCCAGCTCCCCACCTCTTCCCTTTGCTTCATCACAAGCCCAGAAGGAACCCCTACCCATTTAGAGTCTTGGAGGTGCTAAGTGTTTGCTGCTCATCTTGGCCAGGGAACACTGGCTGTTCCTGCTTAACTGGCACAAATGCATGTCCTCTGTCTGGACACTGCACAGCCCCAGGAAGCAGGCGGAGGAAGACAAGGGCATCCCCGGTGCCCTCGGGGGCTGCTGCGAAAAATCTGTGCATCAGCGTGTGTCCCAGGTTCACGCATTTCGTGGCCATGGCAGGTGGTGGGAAAAGAGATGGCTTCCTGGTGGAACAGACCCCTGCCATCTCGGATTCCTCAGTCACCTCCCTTCTCCCTTGAGTCAGACCAAACTTTAAAATTAAGAAAAGGTCTATCCTGAGAAACCACAGTAAACAAATTCAGCCCTGCATAAAGGCAAGTCATAAGATATTATTTCTGTGGCCTGTGCCTCTGGAGGGAACACTCCCTTTGCGTGGCTATGTGTCTCGCTCTCTGTCCCTGGCAGACATCACTAATCTATCGCCGCATACATTGGCAGAATCTTTCTCCAATGAGCCCTCCCAGGCAGCACCTCTCAGCTATTTGGAATTGGGACTTAACACTTGGCCCCCTGGAAATCCACATGAAACCCACTGCCAACCAAATGTGGAACCCTTTCTGGTCCCTGCTCCTGCTCTCATTCTCTCTCGTAGGCTGTGCAGAGCACCAACCTACACAGCTCTGAAAGTTCAGTTCTCTGACCCCCAGCTGAAGATGTGGCCTCGGAGAGAGCCTCAGGTCTAAGCAGACCCTACTCTGTTTCAGGCCATGGTCCCACTTCTTACCCTCTCCTGTTGGCAAGCCCCAGTCCAAACCACAGAGCTGTGCACGTGGCCTCCGTATTCGTTCTCTAGGGCTGCTGGTAAAAAACACCACAAGCGGAGGCTTAAACGTTTGGCACTGACAGCCCCACAGCTCTGGAGGCTGAAATCCAGGATTGCACTGCCAGCAGCCCCGCTTCCTTCTGAGGACGGTGGGAGGATCTGGTCCTGGTCTCTCCCCCAGAATCTTGCAGTGGTCCTCGGCATTCTGTGGCTTGTCAAAACGTCACCCCCACCTCCACCTTCATCTTCCCGTGGCGGTCTCCCAGTGCGTCTAAGCTTCCCTGTTTATAAGGACACTAGTCGCTTTGGATTAGGCCCACCCTAATGACCTCATTCTAACTGGCTTCCTCTATAAAGACCCTGTCTTCAAATAAGGTCACATTCCGAGGTCCTGGGGGCTAGGACTTCAACTGAAGTATGAATTTGGGCTGCGGTGGTACAATTCCATCCATAACCCAGCCTCCATTTTTTTTTTTAATAACAAGTATTCTTCCTTTATATATGTCAGTTGTAGAAAGGCCAGATACTATGGAGACCTATGAAGAAAAGGCTGATTCTCTCCCATAATTCAGTGACCCGCAGTAACTTAGGCAATTATTTGGGGAGCTATATTCTTCCGCAGTCCTTTCCCTGGATAGAAGAGGTATACTTTTCTTTTTATAAATGTCACATTTACAACCTCTGTAACCTGCCACTTTTCCTTCCTCTGTCTTGGAAGACATCCCATTGTGATTAACAACAGCCCACGACTTTCTTATTGTCTTCGTATCATTCCATGGGAACGTTTTTCATCTTCATTTCTCTCGGCTCTGTCAAACAAGCCGTGTGGTTTGCTTTTCTAGTTTCCATTCCCCAAAACCGCACCGTGGTAGTGTGCGTCTTTGTGTGTGGCCTGAATATATCCGTGGGACGATTTCCTGAAGGGGGGCTTGTGGGTAAGGGGAGTTCTGGGTTTGGGAGCCTCTCACCGTAAACCTATTTTCCCTTCTGACTGCCTCATTCTTTCTTCCCATCAGCCTGGCAGGTCCCAGTCCTGGCCTTGTGGGGGATAAGAGGCGGCTACGTTGCTCTATGTCTGAGAGACGTGGCGGTGGCTTGCCGTGCCTGGGTTCCTTTCCTGTCCTCTGCCAAAGCTGCCCGGGTCACGCTGCAGCCTTCTCGCCTGCAGCTCCCGATTCCTTCCTCACCCTGCTATTAAAAGGCCAGGGTTAGGTTCATGGCCCTTCTCCTGTCCCCGCCAGAGGCCCCAGAGCATCGGGTACCGATGGAAAACATCCCAGATGAGTTTCAAATCTCATCAAACCCCAACTACGGGCTGCAGGAAATGGCCCTGCTTCCTAGAACCCAAAATTAGCCAGCCCCTTGATTCATCCATTTAGGATCCTAGCAGTTGAGTGTTTTATGTTATTTTTTGACAGATCATGGGCAATTGGTAGTTAATTTCCCCTGAGAGCTGGTAAGTGGAGAGGCAGGCTAACTTCTGTCTCTCGTCCCCTGGAATGCCATCTGCCTCAACAAGACAGCTGGCCCATTAGTCAGAGGAAGCACCCCCCGTGCCTGCACCATCCGTTTGATTAGCACTAAAGAGCATCTGCTCACAGATGGCCTGGCGGGCAGCTGCTAGGACACCAGCCCACCAAGCGAGGCCAGCTGCAGGGCAGCGGGAGCCAGCAGCACTGATGGAATGGGGCTGCTCAGGTGACAGCACCCGGCTCTGGCTCAGTGCCCTGGCTCCTGCAGTATGCCAGCCGTGCCATCGTGGGACCCTGGCATTCCAGATACCCACAGGTCTTCTGTGGGTTTGTGGTCCCACCTCCTTATTTTACAGGTGAGCCAACTCAGGTGTGGCTTGGGGGCCTGATGTGGCCAGGTTTCAAGGAAGGCATTGGCAGAGCCAGAATTAAAAGCCAGCCCTGCCCCCCAGCCTAGGGTTCCTCCTGGCAGCCTCCCTTCTCTTTTAGAGCCAAGATCCCCCAGGCTTTGAGTCCATCACCCCTTAGCTGGATGTCCTTGGACAAGTGGACGTGAACTCTCCCAGCCCGCATTTACTCCTCCATGAAATGGGAATGACAACAGAACCTGCTTGTGCTCTGGGTCCCAGGGGTGGATAGCCAGTGGCACTGTCATTCTTTTCCTCCTTATAGGGGAGCCCCAGGGGAGCCGGGGAAGCATGATGGGGGTGATCAATGGCCAGAAACTTGGCGTGGCCATGCTCAACACCAGCGTGATGCAGGAGGCGCGCTCCGGGGTCGCCAGCATCCACAGCAGCATCCATCATGTCCCAGCAAACGTGGGTGAGTGGGAGGCAGAGCATCACCTGCATCTGGGCCACTTCTTGGCCCAGCAAGGATCCTCTGAAGCATGCTGGACCTAGGAGGGGCAGAGCCTGTGTTCCGAGACTTGCTCAGGGCCAGATGCCCAGAGCACATCTGAATATTTCTCAAAGCTGAGTGCAAGCCAAATGGACTGAGGTGCAGGCAACTTCCTCCCCGTCGCAACCTCCCCAAAACAAAGTAACTGCATTTGGCTGGACTCGATGGCTCAGGTCTGTAATCCCAGCACTTTGGGAGGCCAAGGCAGATCACAAGGTTGGGAGTTCGAGACCAGCCTGGCCAACATAGTGAAACCCTGTTTCTACTAAAAATACAAAAATTAGCCAGGTATGGTGGTGGGCACCTGTGATCCCAGCTACTCGGGAGGCTGAGGCAGGAGAATCACTTGAACCAGAAGGTGAAGGTTGCAGTGAGCTCAGATTGCACCACTGCACTCCAGCCTGGTAACAGAGCAAGGCTCTGTCTCAAAAAAAAAAAAAAAAAAGCAACATTTATAGTCAGACCAAGAGTGTGTGAAATGGTCAGTGTTCTGGGGGTGCAGATGCTCAGTGTGTGTGTTCTGGGGGTGCAGGCGCTCAGATTGTGTTCTGGGGGTGCAGGCGCTCAGATTGTGTGTTCTGGGGGTGCAGGCGCTCAGATTGTTCTGGGGGTGCAGGCGCTCAGATTGTGTGTTCTGGGGGTGCAGGTGCTCAGATTGTGTGTTCTGGGGTTGCAGGCGCTCAGATTGTGGTTTCTGAAGCCAGTGATGACTCCCTGAGGCTTCTCCCCATTATTAAGGCACAGGCTGATGGAAGTGGAGGGATCTCCAGTCATGAGTGACGGGTGTAGGCTGGAGGTGACAGGAAGTGGGAAACATGGAGAATGGAATTCTCTAGAAAACCTTAAGGACCAAGAATAGTCGCCTGAGCACAGAGCTATGTCCGGAGTCTGAGCGATGAATGATCAGAGAGACTTGCAGAGCTTGTGACAGCGGACCTCACTGTCTCTCCCTTCCCAAGGACTCCACGGCCCCTCATGGGGTCCAGACGGGGTGGTGCTCATGGGATCTTCACTAAAAGCAGCTCCTTTGAAGCTGCCCTTGATCATAGTCCTGCAGGAACAGTGTAGGCCAGGGGATTGTGCTGGGGTAGGGGGTCACTCTGAGTTGACTGTGGGCAGACAGCAAATGAAGCAAGACGCTGCCTAGACTTGGCTGCTTATTCCAGCTGCGGGAGCATGAGCCCTGGAAAAACATGCGACTCCAGGCCTGAGGGCCAGGCCCTGCTCCATGGAAACAGATGCGCAGAGAGGCTGAGAAGGTGGTGCTCATGCAGGGGCCTGGCCGGCTCCCGTGAACCTTGCAAAGCTGGCACCGTCCCTGATTCTGAGCAAGGGGGGAGCAGGGCACTCTGGGCAAGCGTCCCCTTGCCCAGTCCGTGGTCCCGCCTGGCCCTACGTGGAGGGTGGGCCATCACAGAAGGCCTGAGAATTCACATCCAGGGCAATTTTTTTTTTTTTTTTGAGATGGAGTTTCGCTTTTGTTGCCCAGGCTGGAGTGCAATGGTGTGATCTCAGCTTATCACGACCTCCACCTCCCAGGTTCAAGCGATTCTCCTCCCTCAGCCTCCTGAATAGCTGGGATTACAGGTGGGTGCCACCATGCCCAGCTAATTTTTGTATTTTTTTAGTAGAGACAGGGTTTCACTATGTTGGCCAGGCTGGTCTGTACCTCTTGACCTTGTGATCCACCTGCCTCGGCCTCCCAAAGTGCTGGGATTACAGACGTGAGCCACCGCGCCCGATCATCTAGGGCAATTTTTTGGCTCTTTTTTCCAATGATTTGGAACAATCCTCCTCCTCCTGGGCTCGTCCAGAAGGGATCTGCAAGTTAGAAAAGTTGGTTGATTTCCACTGAGCAAATTTGTACCGACAGTCAGTGGAGTCCCTGGCTCCGTGGTGACCCAGGCCATCATTCAGCGTTTGTTGAGTTGAATATCAGCAAAGTACACACATTTCTTTCTTCTTTTTCTCTTTTTGTGATTGCCTCTGGCTTTGTTGCCCAGACTGGAATGCAGCGGTGCAGTGGGTCACAGCTCACTGCGGCCTCAACCTGCCAAGCTCAAGGGATCCTCCTACCTCAGCCTCCCTGGTAGCCGGGACTATAGGCGTATGCCACCACACCTGGCTAATTGTGTAAATATTTTTATTTTTTGTAGAGACAGAGTCTCGCCATGTTACCCAACATTTCCTTGTATAAATTTATTAACTGCACAGCTACTCCAGGAAGTAGATTGTTTGCCTCCACCATTTCCTGGATTCTGGTTAAATAATTGACATGGCAGTCACAAGGCTGAGTGTAGGCAGCGAGGGAAGGGGCCAAGCTCTCCTGGGGGCAGTGGGAATCCATGAAGGGCCCTTGAGCAGGAGAGTGGCCGCCCTGAAGATCAGCCCTAACTCAGCGTCCACGCCCTGCCCCACCCAGGGCCTCTAATGCGGGTGCTCGTGGTCACCATCGCCCCCATCTACTGGGCCCTGGCCGGAGAGAGTGGGGAGGCCCTGAACGGCCACTCCCTGACGGGGGGCAAGTTCCGGCAGGAGTCACACGTGGAGTTTGCTACAGGTAAGCAGGGCCTCCCCCAGGTGGGCCAGGTAGGGCTGAAGCAGGAGCCCAGGAGCTCCCTGGTGACTGTGCTGGGCGGGGATGGATTGCAGGGGAGCTGCTCACGATGACCCAGGTGGCCCGGGGCCTGGATCCCAATGGCCTCCTGCTCCTCGATGTGGTGGTCGATGGTGGTGTCCCTGAGAGCCTGGCTGACGCAGATCTGCACGTGCAGGTGGGGGTCACGCCTGGGGTGTGCAGACGGGGTGGGTAAGAGAGATGGAGGCGCCCGGCTCTCAACCACCCGTGAGCAGCCAGGCCTACTCTCCCTCCTCCCAGGCCGGCAACCACAGGGCTGGGTCACAGTCCGGCCCTGAACTTAGGGTAGGGCGAGCAGTTGTAACGGGCTCAAGTGCGAGCCCATGAGGGAATGCTCTGAGCCCTGCGACCCCAGATCAGAGTGTTCTGGTTCCAAAGCAGAAGTCCTGAAGAGAGGTGAGCTGCCCAGCGCAGCCCAGCTGGTTAGAAGAGGCTCTGGGAGCCTCACCCCATCTCCTCCCAAGTCTCCCCAGCCCCTGACTTGGGGTAAGGGTCTCAGGCTGCTTGGGAGCTGAAATTTCCTCCTCCCCTTCCGTCCCTGACCTCTGTTTCCCTCTCCCCCTCTCCTCCTCCTCCACCCTCCTGTTCCTCCTGCAGGACTTTGAGGAGCGCTATGTGCAGACAGGGCCTGGCCGGCTGTTTGTGGGCTCCACACAGCGCTTCCTCCAGGGCAGCCTCCCCTCGTTCCTGCGCTGCAACCACAGCATCCAGTACGACTCGGCCCGGGGCCCCCAGCCCCAGCTGGTACAGCACCTTCGGGCCTCGGCTGTCAGCTCGGCCTTCGACCCAGAGGCCGAGGCCCTGCGCTTCCGACTCACGACAGCCCTGCAAGCGGGTGAGGGTCTGCTGCTTTGTCACACCCCCACCGCCCCAGCTAAAACCTGCCAGGGGCCCAAATGCACATGGCTGGAAGCCACTCCTGCCCCCAATATCCAGTGACCATGGGCCAGTGACTGGGGACTGAGACGGCCCACCTGGCCTGTCCCCACTCCCGTCCCTCCTCACAGGGACACAGCTCTCTCAGCCACCCCCGTCCCAACCTCTGGATCCTTTCCCCAGGCACCAAGGAGAAGGTCCAGCCACCCCAGGCTGATGTTCAAGGATTGAGTGACCCCACCCTCTTCTCCCAAGGGCACTTGTATGGAGGCCCCACCCCGGGGACCAGGGACCACTGTTGGAACCCCTGGAGAACCAGAGGAACACGCTTTCCATTCTTACCCAGTGAACCCCAGAGATACATGTGTTCACATTATTTGAGGTCCCAACAGGTTTTGAACATTGAAAAAGTAATAGTGATAAGAGCACAGCTTTAAGGTCAGGCAGACCCTGGTTCTAATCCAAGTGCACCACTTTCTGGCTGTGGCATCTTGGGGGCAACGTCCTGTTCCTCCCTGAGCCTCAGAGTTCCCATCTGCACAGTGGGCATGACATGGGCTTCCTTGCAGTGGGTTGCCGTATAGAGGTTGTCTCTAAAACCCTAGCCTGGCCCCTAGTGGCTGCTTCATTAAGGGTGGCTGTCCCACCCACGGCCCACGGGCTGCATGCTACCCAGGACAGCTTTGAGTGAGCGCAGCACAAATTCGTAAACTTTCTTAAAACGTTATGAGATTCTTTTTGCGATTACTTTTTAGCTCATCAGCTATCCTTAGCGTTAGTGTATTTTACGTGTGGCCCAAGACAATTCTTCTTCCAGTGTGGCCCAGGGGAGCCAAAAGACAGGACACCCCTGATTTAGACAGCTTTGTATCCTTCCTGCCTCCAGACCCCAGCTCCCCCCTCCCCTGCCTTTGTTCTTGCTGCCCGTCTGACGCTGTCCTCTGCCCCTCCTGGCGCTCTCCGTGCATTGCCGCTGGGGTCTCAGGAGTGCCGTTCTGCACGTGTTCACTTCCTGCATTTGATTTTAATGGTTTCCTGGGGCTGCCTGACTCACTGCCCAGCCCCACTGGGAGCCCTTCAGGTCACATTTCCTTGACTGGATGCCCTTCAGTCATCGCCTCCAACAGGCCTGGGCAGGAAATGGGCTCGCTGACTCTCTGGCACCATCTTGGCTCTGCCTGGCCAAGCTGGCAGTGGGGAGGGCAGGGAGGAGAGGCTGCGAGCCTGGGCTACAGCCAGCACAGCCATGGGAGAGGACACCCTCATGTCCTTAGGGTCTGTCCTCTTTGCCTTGCAGAGGAGAACGAGGTCGGCTGCCCCGAGGGCTTTGAGCTGGACTCCCAGGGAGCTTTTTGTGTGGGTGAGCGCCCCCCCAACCCCCCGGCATGGATGTCGGAGGTCTCTCAGCTCGGGATACCGGGATAGATGGGCTCTCCCAGCCAGCTGGCAGGAGGGCCTGGGAGCAGAGACCACCAGACCCCTTCCTGCCCCAGATAGGGACGAGTGCTCGGGAGGCCCCAGCCCCTGCTCCCACTCCTGCCTTAACGCACCCGGCCGCTTCTCCTGCGCCTGCCCTGCTGGCTTTGCCTTGGCCTGGGATGACAGGAACTGCAGAGGTGAGGGGCCCCTGGGAGGAGAGGTGCTCCTCGGACCTGGCCCGGGTGTGCAGAAGGGTTCCCAGGGCCAGGACCCTGGCTGGAGACACAGACCTGCAGGGTGACCCATCCTGAGGGCATTCAATGTCAGCCTAGGAGTCCCAATGCCATATCCCCACCAGGCTCCTTCCTGCTGAGGGAGCTGCAGATGAGCGAGGCCCAGGTATCAGAGGGTGATGGGGAGCCCCAGAGGTCTATGGGCAGTTATCACATGCTCACGGCATTCTGAACCTGGACAGGCCTCGGAAGCTTTCCCAACACTCAGCATCATTTCCAACTGACTGAGACTGGCAAGTGAGTTGTCCCCCTCGGCAATGGTGCTGGATGACAAACTTGACCTTGGGAGATGGTCCTGATGCTGACCCCCAATCTGCATCCCTGTACTCCACCGGGAGGGCCTGGTGCCGCTAAGTCTCCACTGGGCTCCAAGCCGGGTGCCCAAGGGAGCAGTCTGCAGCCTTGCATTGGAAGCTGCAGGCCTAGGCCCTCGGGTCCCTTGGAGTGGGCCCTGTGTTTTGCGGTGGGAGAAGGACAATGGAAAGAGCTAGCAGAAGGGGTGGGGACCTTCCTGCCTGTGGCTTCTGGGCCTGGGGATGAAGCGTCTGTGGATAGACTGGGCCAGGGCCAGGTGGTGAGGCAGGCCTAGGGTGACGTTCACACAGCCGTCTTCCCCGATCTGCCCCCAGATGTGGACGAGTGTGCATGGGATGCCCACCTCTGCCGAGAGGGACAGCGCTGTGTGAACCTGCTGGGGTCCTACCGCTGCCTCCCTGACTGTGGGCCTGGCTTCCGGGTGGCTGCTGATGGGGCCGGCTGTGAAGGTGATGGGGCCACAGCGTGCGGCCTGTCCTTACTCCTGGAAATGCAAAGGTTGCCAGGGATCAGAGGATCGGGGCTGTGTGTCACCGGGCTTCTGGGTTCCCGGGAAAACCGGGACTCTTGGCAGAAAGAGCGCAGCAAGGCTGGTGAGGAAGCCTGCACTGGGCTCTGGAGGTCTCAGCCCTGCCCTGGCTCCTGGCAGCTTGCCCCTTCTTTGACAGGGGTGTTTTCCTTTCTGGACCTCAGTTTCTTGTCTGCTTGATAAAGAGGGAGCCAGGTCAGGGATGGCGAACACGTGCTCCCTACGCTGCCGTCCGTTCTATTGCCCCCATGAATCAAGGCCCAGCTAGAGGCCACCTCGGAATCCTTCTCGTCCCAGCAGCCCCCAGCCACCATGGAGCAGGTGCAGTCAGCCTTTGAGGTGAAATCTAGGTGCCACCCCTGGACGGGTGACCCCAGTGGTCCCTCCTGTCCCAGCAGTCTATGGCTGCAGGATCATGGACCCACTGGCTTCTCTGAGAGACTGTCCAGTGGAGAGGGAAGCATGGTGGAGCCTGACCCCAGAGGATCAGCCAACGCACCTTGTGGTCCCAGGGCCCTCAGAGTGCCCAGCGATTCACCCTGACACCTGTCCTCCCTTCTCACCACATTTTTAGCTCTTCCCACATAGGAGGCTCCCTTCCTCACCACGACCCCAGGAAGAGGTCACATCTTTACCCTCTTTATGGGGGAGGACACTGAGGCTCAGAGAGGGAGCGTTCCCTGCCCAAGGGCTAGAATATGGCAGAACTCAGCAGAACCCAGGACTCTGCCCCCAAAGCCCACCCTTTAAGCCCCTTCCTTTCTTTGGGACAGGAACCCTCTTGACCTCCAACCTGGTATAACTGGGGAGGTGGCACAAGGTTTGCCATGCAGGCTGGTGGCACTGAAACTGGAGGAGGGGACAGGGAGGAAGCCCAGATATGGAGGGGGATGATCCGTCCCTTCGGGGAAGGGCTCTGGGCTAGACCTCACCCCCTGACTGTGCCTCTGCCTTCCAGATGTGGACGAATGCCTGGAGGGGGTGGACGACTGTCACTACAACCAGCTCTGCGAGAACACCCCAGGCGGTCACCGCTGCAGCTGCCCCAGGGGCTACCGGATGCAGGGCCCCAGCCTGCCCTGCCTAGGTACGGGGACACCCACCCTCTGGCTGGCACCCCCAGCTCAGGGGCCGTAGGTGTTTATGGCGCCCGTGCTGGTGAGTTCCGAGAATAACCAAACAGTAGTTGATACTGCGCTCACTGGGTGCCTGCCTGTGACCAAAACCTCAGCCCAACCCTGTGGGGTCATCTTCCAGGGAATCTCAGGAGGAGGAAGATGGTGGAGGCAAGTGGGTGGACCTCAGAGAGGCTTAGGAGAGGGCACGGATCTAACTGGGGTGCTGTGGGGCTGAGGGGGAGCTGGAGGCTGGGGTGATGCTGAGAGCCGTAGGTGGGGTCAGAGAGGAGGCTGGGCTTGGCCCCAGGAGAGGGGCATGTGGTGGCCCACATGCAACATGGGATGGCGCAATTCTAGGGAGCGCCAGCAAGAGAGAAGGCAGGGCCAGGCGATGGCTGCCAGCTGCAGGGAGCCCTGGGCCACCTGTGCACACACCTGCCCCTGCCCCTCTGCAGATGTCAATGAGTGCCTGCAGCTGCCCAAGGCCTGCGCCTACCAGTGCCACAACCTCCAGGGCAGCTACCGCTGCCTGTGCCCCCCCGGCCAGACCCTCCTCCGAGATGGCAAGGCCTGTACCTCACCGGAACGGAATGGACAAAACGTCACCACCGTCAGCCACCGAGGCCCTCCAGCGCCCTGGCTGCGGCCCCGAGCCTCCGTCCCCGGTGGCTCCTATCATGCCTGGCTCTCTCTCCGGCCGGGTCCCATGGCCCTGAGCAGCATGGGCCGGGCCTGGTGCCCTCCTGGCTTCATCAGGCAGAACGGAGTCTGCACAGGTAAGGCCAGGCCCTGACCATCCACAGGACACAGCCGTGAGGGCATCTTGGGCTCCTGGGCTGGTTATGCACAGGGTACCCACCGAGCTCAGAAACCCAGACCTCCCAGGCAAGCAGGGTGGCTGGTGTGGTGGATGGGGGCTTCTCCCATGCAGGGGGGCTCAGAGCCTTGGCCGTGCTACTGGGCAGGGGGCTTCCAAGATGGGGGGTGGGGTATCTTTTAAACCATTTGGCTTCAGGATGCTTTGCCCAGAGGGAGGGCACCTGAGGCAGGTGGTACCCAGAACCCTCTTTGAGAAACGCTCCTCTGAGCAGTCAGAAAGGGAGATTCTCAGGAGTGAAGAAGAATGTTCCAGGTAGACATGAGAATGTGATGAGGGACTGCTGGGTGGAGGGGTGGGGGTTGGGAACAGCCCCTGGACCCTGCAGAGAGGAGCAAAGAGGAGGTGGCCTGCCCCAGAGCTGATGCCTCAGCATTCTCGCCGGGGCTTCTCCCTCTATTCCTTGGCAAGCATGGGGTAGGTAGAGTGGGGCTCCCTGCTCTCACCAAGCCCAGGGACTCCCCCAGACCCTTAACCCGGGCTGGGAGGGGCAGGACAGGGAGAAGGAGCAGGGCAGCTCCAGAGCCCGGCAGGTAGGCGCGTGGCCACCTCGGTGTCTGTGGCTCAGCTCGTCTCTCTGCCCCACCCCCCACCTGCCCCACCCTCCATGCCCGGGCCAGACCTTGATGAGTGCCGGGTGAGGAACCTGTGCCAGCATGCCTGCCGCAACACCGAGGGCAGCTACCAGTGCATGTGCCCCGCCGGCTACCGCCTGCTCCCCAGCGGGAAGAACTGCCAGGGTAAGCCAGGCTCAGGCCAACGCCCAGACACCCTCAGGGTTAGGGAAGGCAGCATGGGACGGGTCACGTGGGCCTCTCACCCACTCCATTCGCTCCAGCTCCTTCACAACCATCCTGTGAGGTGGGGGCAGGGAGGCAGGCTCAGAGGGGTTCCGTGAACACCCCAGGCTCCCACAGCCACAGCAGGGCCCGTGCTCCGAACAGGAGCTCTGAGAGATTACTCGGGCAGCCTCTGAAAGCAGCCCTGCAGAGCCAATCTCAGCTTTACTGTGTGTCCCTGGGAAACTCACTTCACCTCTCTGAGCCTCCGGCCTCCTGATTAGATGGGGCTAGCACAGTCCCCCTCAAATAGCGGGGATGAGAATGGTGGTGGTTGGGCACAGGGCACACAGCTGCTGCTGCTGGTATAGTAAGGGGCTCTAACTCCCAAGCCAGGCTCGGTTTCCCTGGTGTACCCCGGGCTGGGGTCAGGCATGCTGCTTCCTCCACCTTAAAGAACAGGGACCTGCCTAGCCTGTCTCCATCCCTCACGCTGCCATGGAGGTCATCGAACGTCCTCTGAGAAGGGTGGGGCGTCCACTGAGGGAGACAGGGTCAGGGGCTCTGCCCGTGGGCAGTGGGCACTCTGGGTCTTCAAGCAAAGCAGCCACTCAGGAAAAGCCCCATCTCTCCCAGGCCCTCCTACCCAGCACTTGCTCAGGAGCTCCCCATGGTGCCCACCTACATGCCCTGGAAAGCCCTGGCCCCCAGGGGGGTGAGAAGGTGCTGGGGACCTCCACGCTGGGTAGTCATGGGTCAGACTGGCTGGGGACAGGAGGAAAAGGGCTGCTCACCTCACTGGTCCCCCAAAGGTCCTTCTCCCCACGTACTCCCCACTTGTCCTTTCTCCTCCTTTTCACCTCCCTCTCCCGCTTCACCCCTCCCCATCCAGACATCAACGAGTGTGAGGAGGAGGGCATTGAGTGTGGACCCGGCCAGATGTGCTTCAACACCCGAGGCAGCTACCAGTGTGTGGACACGCCCTGTCCTGCCACCTACCGGCAGGGCCCCAGTCCCGGGTAAGGGCTGAGTTGGCAAGGCCTTGTGCCCTGGGGAAAAGAACATTTTTTCAGTCACTCGGTGCAGGCTGGCCCCGTCACTGTCACTCCCCACACAAGTGATGCAGGCAGGAGCGCCTGGGGCCCTGGGGGCAGGGAGAGGCCGGAGTGGGGGAGAACGGGGACACGGGAGCACACACATCAAACCCCAGACAGAGGCACACCATGCGCGCACACACACAACCCAGGACAAGACTCAGACACACCAGCACCAAACCATCCGCTCCACGCCACTCACGTCACGGCGGCCACGGACATTCAGTAACACGCACAGAGACATGGGGACCTTAGGGGTAGCAGCTGCTGCCCAGGGAGGGTCTCTCCTGGTGGGCGACCTGCTCTGGGCCTTACAGCTGGAGAAAGCTAGGCTGGGGTTGGAAGCGGGTGCACGTGCTGCCCGGTGCTTGTGGGTGCCCTGGGGCATGGCCCTGGAGAGTCCCCCGGAGGGACCCTGAAAGGGCAGGCCTCTGGCCTCTCCGGCCTCAGCTTGTCGATGTCTAAAACGGGCCGGCGGGGGTGCCCGCAGAGAAGGCGTGTGGGGCGCTGCAGGGGAAGCACTGGCAGCGCGCGCGGGCGGAACTGCAGCGCTGGCGGGAGGTCGGGTCTACGCGGCCCGCTGCTCCGACTGCAACCCCGGTCCGCGGTCTGCCTGTGTCTGTGCCGCCCGCAGGACGTGCTTCCGGCGCTGCTCGCGGGACTGCAGCTCGGGCGGCCCCTCCACGCTGCAGTACCGGCTGCTGCCGCTGCCCCTGGGCGTGCGCGCCCACCACGACGTGGCCCGCCTGGCCGCCTTCTCCGAGGCCGGCGTCCCCGCCAACAGCACCGAGCTCAGCGTGCTGGAGCCCGACCCGCGCAGCCCATTCGCGCTGCGCCCGCTGCACGCCGGCCACGGCGCCGTCTACACCCGCCGCGCGCTCACCCGTGCCGGCCTCTACCGGCTCACCGTGCGCGCCGCAGCCTCGCGCCACCAAAGCGTCTTCATCCTGCTCATCGCTGTGTCCCCCTACCCCTACTGAATGGGGGAGGGCATCGGCGGCCGCCCCGTCGTGACCCCCGAGGCGGGGTGGGGGAGGAGCCCTGGTCCATGCCACCTGCTGTGGCAAGCGTAGCGTCATCCTCTCCTGCCCCGTGCGTCAGTGAGACCTTGGGTCAACACGACCCTGCATGCAGCCTTGATCCCTGGCAGGGAGGATCTGAGCTTGCAGAGGAAGGCGTCCAGGGCGGCCCCTGGGTGGCCAGGCCAGCAGACAGGGCCCGGGGAAGCCTCCAGGCCCTCATCTGCCCCTCCATAGGAGCGGGACAGGGACACAGGGCACCTGGACGCCCAGGAGAGGGGACAAGCCCTGCTTTGGGGGCAGCAGCTGTCGCCCGGCTACACCTGGTGGTGTCATTCTGAACCTTGTTACAATATAAAAACGATTGTTTTTTAACCAACTAGGTTTCTTTGTCTAATTATTTTGCTTTGTAGGGAAGGGTTTTGGCTGGGAAGGAGACCACGCCTTCTGTTCTGATCCAGGAGCACTGCAGTTGGAGTCCACCAGCCTCCTCTCCTTAGCAGTAGGGCTGCCTCAGCCACCTCCTGGCCTCAGTTTCCTCATCCATTAAATACTGCAATAGGGCCCTCCCTTCCCACATAGGGCTGTGGGGGCAACTAAATGAGGAGTAAAAGTGTTACACAGAGAGCAATACGTAGTGGCAAAAAAAGACTTCTTACTTTTTTTGTAAAAATAATCCCGGCGGTGACGAGGGATTGAGAAAAGGAAATCAAGTCAGAAACAAGAGTAGAATTTACAGCATGAGTCCAGGGGGCCAAGGCAAACGTGGGAACCGCGGCGGCCCAGAGCTCTGGGCTCCAAACCCTTTTATTATGTGCACAATCTCATTGATCTTACGGGCATGGAAGCGGAGGGTGAAGGGTAGGTGAGATAGTGGCGGGGAGCACTTGAGATCCCTCTAAGACATGCCAAACTAGTGCTCCGAGTTTATCACCGATAGTTATCAGGCTGCGGCTGCATCAGAGGTATAGCAGATGAGGAGCCGGGTCTGACCACACCCAGTGCATCAGGGGCTTTTATATCCCCAGCATTGGGCACTTAGAGCAATTCAAATCACTCCATACTGAGAAGCTAGGCAGAGCCTGAGACGTTCCGTGAGCTCTGCCCTGCGAGGCTTGTCTCCGTGCCAGCTCCCATCTGCAAAGACCCTCCCAGATCTTGTGATCAGAGGTCGCCTCTCTTAGAGATCTTTGCATGAACCCTTTTTTCGAGGCCCTCATGCAGTCTCCATGTTGAGAAGCGTTCGTGGGACCACAGCAGTATTCCCCGCTCTGCAGCCACCCCGAGGTGCTCCCGGTGTCACCGTGATCTCAGATGGTCTTTCCCTTAGGCCTCCTGTTGCCGCCTGATTTCTAGTTTAGTTTAGTTTAGTTCGGTGTATAAACTCCAGTGTCCCCTGAGCCAAGCAAGCTTAGCATTATTGAGCTAGAATTAACGTAGGTCTCCTCCGGCCATCTTGACCCACAGCTGGCCTTTATATTCATTCTTAATAATGTTTTATTGTACATATGTAAGGTGTACAACATGATGCTTTGATATACATAATGAAATATTTACTATAGTCAAACCAATTAATATATCCATTTGGGATTTTGGGTGAGCTTGAAAAAAAAAATCCATCATCTCATGTATGCTTATTTTTGTGGCAAGAACTCCTAAAATCTCCCTTAGCCAAATCCCAATGTGATATTATTATCGTTATTTTGAAACAGGATCTCCCTCTGTCACCCAGGCTAGAGTGCAGTGGCGTGATCAGAGCTCCCCTCAACCTCTGCCTCCCAGGCTCAAGCAATCCTCCCACCTCAGCCTCCTGAGTAGCCAGGACCACAGGCATGCACCACCACGCCTGGCTAATTTTTTTTTTTTTTTTGAGATGGAGTTTTGCTCTTGTTGCCCAGGCTGGAGTGCAATGGCACGATCACTGAAACCTCTGCCTCCTGGGTTCAAGAGAGTAGCTGAGATTACAGGCATGTGCCACCATGCCCAGCTGATTTTGTATTTTTGGTAGAGACAGGGTTTCTCCATGTTGGCCAGGCTGGTCTTGAACTCCTGATCTCAGGTGATCTGCCCACCTTGTCCTCTCAAAGTGCTGGGATTCCAGGCATGAGCCACCATGCCCGGCCTAATTTTTGTATTTTTAGTAGAGATGGGGTTTCACCATGTTGGCCAGGCTGGTCTCGAACTCCTGACCTCAAGCGGTCCGCTTGCCTCGGCCTCCCAAAGTGCTGGGATTAGATGTGAGCCCCCATGCGCAGCCCCTGGGGTAGTCTTTAATAGGCTGTCAGGGCAGGCATCACTGAGCAGCTGGCTTCTGAGAAGATACCTGAAGAAGGTGAAGAAGTTACATGTCCATTGCCATAGAGGGGAAGAGCATTCCCAAAGAGGGGACAGCAGGGAGTCAGGGCTGTCGGGCAGGAGGGTCCAGCCGGGAGGCTGGGGAGGCTAGAGATGAATGAGGTGGGAGAAAGGGAAAAGGGAGATTGGATCGGAAAGGTCGAGGGGGTGGGGCGGGTACTGTGGGGTCTTTGGGCCCGTGTAGGTAAAGCAGGAGCGGCCGCAAGAAACAGACCTCTGGAACACCGAACTGGGAAGGAAGGGGTGATTTATTCGTCCGGGAGCAAGGTGGCATGCCTTTACACAGGCTCTAGATATTACATGTGAAAGGGCCTTGGGTTTACAGTTTTGGAAAGTACACTTGAGGGGGTCGTGAGGTACCCCTGGGAGTTTGAGCAAGATTGAATGGGAACAATAGAGGGCATTTCTCCCTGTCTTCCCCACCCTTAAGATCGCCTGAGATCTTAACGGTGGGATGGGGGGTTAATCTTTAACCTCCAGGCCGTTGACCTCAGGCCTGCTAAGTCTCAACTTTTACTTCTCTTTCTTTGAGACCAGGGACAGGAAAGAGGGGTTTCTCTCCTCATAGGGACTTTGGCTTTGATGAATCAGCTTCGGAGAGACGAGTAAATGTGTGGCTAGGTGTGGTGGTGCGTGTCTTTAGTCCCAGCTGCCCAGGAAGCTGAGGCAGGAGGATCGCTTTGTGATATTGTGCTGGCCTAGAGCCAGAACCGGAGCAAAACTATTTTATAAAATGCAAAACTGTTTTTTAAATAAGTTGAAATGGCTGCCCCATTCTCCTCACAATAACTACTGTCCTTGGCCTCTGTAAATAGAACTGCCAGTTTGTTCTGCAAAACTACGTAAAGCTACTTACCTTTTCTTATCAGTAACTGCTAAAATCTGTGACTTCTATCACCACCCAGACGATGTGTAAACAAATGTATATCTTGACTTCTGTAAACCACTGAAGTAACAAACAGAATGACAAAAGTCCCCTAGCCCTTGGAATGTCCGGAGACCCCCGCCCTTGTCTCCACCCAGGAGGTGAATCACAGAATCCCCTA